TTTAAATAGAAGGATGATGTGCTATAGTCCTTGATTTTAAAGTGATCATGGTGAGGGGCACCTGGCTGGCTCAGTCATTGGAGCATGCATCTTTTGATCTCAGGATTGTAAATTTGAGCCCCACGTTGGGTATAGAGATGACTTTAAAAACCAAAACAATCATTCTAAAAGGTGTGCAGAGAATGAGTCCTTCCTTACTCATGACCTGCAGGAGGTGGCGTGATCTGTCAATCTCTCCAATTTCATTTCCCATCTTTTTCTTTCATGCTTTAGTTACACTGGGGGTACTTTCAGATTTTTTTTTTCCTTTTCTGTTTTTTGTATTCTTTCCTGTATGCCACTCTCTTGCCTTACGGCTTTCACACATGTTATTCTTTTTGTTTTTAAACTTTTCCCCATGGCAGTTCCTGTAACTGTTTAGTTGTCTTCTCCACTATTCTTAAGTACAAAGGGGGCAGGACTGCATCTTTCCGTTTACTGTTCCGTACCCAGTACCTAACACAATACCTTCTACAAAGCAGCACTCCATATTTGTTGAATAAAGAAACTAGTAATTACTATTTTCATTTGTGTGTTAAAAAAATTACTGTAGAAACTCTACATTAGGTCCTCTGAGAACGTATGAAGGATTTGCAGTACGCAGTTCTTACCTTGGAATAGTTCCAGTTTAAAAGGAGGGATAGGATCAGCTATGAGTAATATTGGAGCATGGAGGAGGACACTGTAGTTGGAGTGGTTTAAAGCGCTGTCATTAGCAAAGCTCTGTGACCTCAGATAAGTTATTTCCTTCTCTGTTTCTTTCCTTATCCATGTCTAATATTAAGGGGTTTGGCTAGATTTTCCTGAGGTTTTGGTTCTCAGATCTGGTGTGCAGTGAATGATGTATTAGTTATTTTTTTCCCCCCAGGCTCCATCCCTGGAGAGTCAGATTCAGTAGGCCTGGGGCGAGATCGAGGAATTCTGTAGGTGATTATGATGCACAACTAGGTTTAGGAACCACTGATATGGGGCACCTGGGTGGCTCAGTGGGTTAAGCCTCTGCCTTCGACTCAGGTCATGATCTCAGGGTCCTGGGATCGAGCCCCATATCGGGCTCTCTGCTCAGCAGGGAGTCTGCTTCTCCCTCTCTCTCTCTCTCTCTGCCTGCTGCTCTGCCTACTTGTGATCTCTGTCTGTCAAAAAAAAAAAAAAAAAAAAAAAAAAGGAACCACTGGTCTAGGTCTTCTTAACTTGCCATCTTGTCAGTGTAGTTGTAATACAGGGTAGACTGTGAGAGTGCAGCCTGAATAGGTAGATTAAGATGTTGTGTTTGTTCAAAGGCAAGGAAAATAGTGTTTTGCTTTGGTGATGAGGGGGACTTAATGGAAATGGTGGTGTAAGAGTGGATGGAGAGATGGGCAGGTGCAGAAGCGAAGCGTGACTGGTGTTCAGCGCAGCTCACTTGGAGGCCAGAATATGCAAGGGAGCAGGAGGGAAACATCCACCAGTAATGATGTCATGGACCAGAGTTCGAGTATTGTTTTCCCCACTTTACCCGTCATACTTGGTTGTCCTTTTGGAGACGAAAGGTTCTATTATTGCAGCTTGATCCTCATTTGCTAGAAGTGAGCCATGGGGTGGCAGAGAGCATGGGGCTGCTTTGGGAAATAATTGGGTGTATTCTTCCTCATGTCTTTTGGGGCTGTGCCCTTTGAGATCCACGTTGACCATCCATGGGTTTTCTGGTTAGACACACAGAATACCAGGACCCACTATGTTATCTAAAATAAGAGTTTTGCTGTCAGAATGATTATTATTAAACCAAAGTTGGCCTTTTTGTTTAGATGAAACCATATAAAGGCAACATTCTGAGTAAATTATATAGCATCCACATGATGAAATAATGAGCCTAAGTTTAGGAGATGAAAGTAATGATCTAATGCAATATTTAGAATGGATATACAGTATGTAGTTATTAACCTAAAAGTCACATCCCGCATTCTTTTGATTTGTGGAAAATTTGTCATTAATTGCCAGGAAGCCTGATTTTTCATACAGAATCACGTCATAACTGTTGACTTTCTCCCCCTTCTTCTGCCTTAAAATATTTCATTGTAATAGTAGATTACTCTCAGATTTGCAATGCCCCTTTTAAACACTGGGTTGCTAAGTTTAGCCCTGTTGCTCTCTCTCTCTCTCTCTTTTTTTTTTAAATAGAATTCCTTCCCCCCCAGATTTGCCTCTGAATACTGACGAATCACACTTTGTTTTTGAGTGACCATGGCTTAAAAACCTTATCTAACCTTTCTGCCCAGTGGGAGCCTGCTGGTTCTGAAATACTTTTTGTTTTCATGAGTTACCACTGTGTGGAGGAAATTGTTAGGGCATCCCATTTAGAAACAGCCTATGAGATGAGTGTTGACTGTCCATTCAAACTTACTCTGAATAGGGCTACTTTTATGAAATAGTTGTCAAAGATACAGCTTAGCAAGGTAGGGTCAGAAACACAGAAGTCAAAATTGAGAAGAAAGAAAGAGGTCGTGGACCCGAAATGAGGCAGTCAGGCTGATCTCCAGCCCAGAATCCAGCCCATACCTACTCCTGTCAAGCATCTCAGATCAGTCTAGGATTCACAGGTTAACCTGTGATCATCCAGTCAGTCCTACTTCTTTTTTTTTTTTTTTAAGATTTTTTTCTATTTATTTGAGAGAGAGAGAGAGCGAGCATGCACAGGAGTGGGGGGTGGGCAGAGGGAAGGGAGAAGTGGACTTCCCACCGAGCAGGGAGCCTGATGTGGGGCTCAATCCCAGGACCTCGGGATCATCATCTGAGGAAGGCAGATGCTTAACCAGCTGAGCCACCCAGGCGCCCCAGTCCACTTGCAGCTATGCTGATGTTGGTCTATTGCCTATCAGCTGACTTTGAAATTAAAAAAGTAGAGATACCAAGCCTCTTATGATTCTTTGCTTGTAAAGTATTACCTTTATTAATGTGACTCATTGGCCCCCAGTAGCACCAGAATTTATTTCGAAAGGAACAGCCCCGACTCCCACTCCCAACAGAGGTAGATCAAAGAAAAACCTTTCTTCTAGAAAAACCTCAGACTTGAGAAAATCTCCCCAATTTCAAGAAGAGCTTTTATGGGAAAATGACTATACTTGCATCTCTATTATCTGCCAGACTATTAAGAAGAATAATAGTCAGAGGTGTAGACCTTAGAAGCAAATATAAGACCATTTACTATTTTGCAAATTGTGTTCTGTGTTTATGCTGCCCAGGGTGACATTGTGACATTGGAGGCCTGCTTCTGCTTCAACCAGAACACTGTGGGTATTAACCTGCTCACATATTAGGATTTCATGCATTAATTTGGTTTGATACAGGAGTTCTGCTTTAAAAAAAAAAAAAAAGATTGAAAACCATCCCTTTTGGTCAAATGCCCAAGAATTTATAGAGAATGTGTCTGAAGGTCGACATAGTTCAATTAAATACCGACAGTTGTACAACTACTTAGAGTTGACAGAAATGAAAAACCGTGAAACTGAACTTCCCATCCAGTGCATTTTTTACTACAAAATGTTGATTTGATTTTCCATTTTGAAAGACACAGAAGTGATCTGTGAAATGGCGATTAGCACTAGGCAGCCCCAGGCAGCCCTGGAATGCTCCATGGTTCAAATGCCCGAGACCAGATGGAGGTCCAGAAGTGGATGACTCAAAGTTTATTAGTTTTGCCACCTGGGCAGTACAGCCGAACCAGCTGCCATAAGGCAGTTCCAATTTCAACAGAGCAGTAAATGAACATAAAAGTGAGTGTAAATCCCAAGAATAAAGTAAAGGAGAATGTCTGTTGCTCTAAGGAGATTCGTGCAGGCTGAGCCCTATGGAGATAGGCTGTGTGGGAGGCAAGCTGCTGGGCCAGGTAGAGACCAATCACAGGTTGCCTCCGCAAGCCCTAAAAAACCGTCCCTGGAGTTGTTCCAGCAGCCGAACTCAGTTTGGGATCTGTTTGACTTGCTGGCTTGGGAGCCATGTCACATCTGATGATCTAGGATGGGAAAAATGAGCCCATGGTATATCATGATTATGTTATGAGGCCAGAAGCTTTTTTTTTTTTTCTGGAAACTATGGAAGGTTGTTATTAGGTTTGTCTTTCATAGTTTGGGGCCCTTAGTGTCATGGGTGTTCATGGGAACATAAGCTCCTTGTGGCAGGTCACCGGGAATCGAGTTCATTCTCTTCCTGTTCTCCTCATCTGGAATTGGAGGGTTGTAGGTTTTTAAGCGATGTGTATGAAATACTGCGGGAGTCAGAGGTTGACCTTAAGGCTTTAGATGACCCCTTTAATAGGTCTAGGGCTTTTGAAAACTGAAATAGTTATAATAATGAGGCTATGGGTTTAGGACTAAGTTGAGGGAGGGAGAGCACTTTTTGTGTAAATGAGGATGATTCGCTGAGGAATTTTCACAAGTCAAATAATTTGGACCCTGTGTGTCCATTAAGGATGCTTTGGGCAGCTAGCTACAGAAAACTTGACTGAACGGACTTAAACAAAATAGAGGTTTATTATTGCTGTTTTTGTCACGAAATGAGAAACTTAGAGGAATATGGCTCATGACTGGTTCAGCTGCTCAGTGATGACACAGGCTCTTTTTTTGTCATCTTGACAGAAAGTAAAAGGACGTGGGTGAAGAGGGGAGAGGAACGTACTAGTTGCCGATGTATTTTGCTGTGGTCTTAACGCTAAAGGCTGGCCCAGGGTTTTATCTATTGGGTCGACCTCTGTCTTCAGGTGATCTTTTCGAGCGCCAAGTGCTGTTCATACTTAGTCTCATGCGATAATGTAATACTGCTCTTCCTTTCTTTGTACGGTGATGCCTATATATTTTCTGATCTGCTTGGAGTTGCTTCTCTCTCTTTTTTTGCAATGACACGAAGTTGCAAATGAGAACTTTCATAGTATAACCTTCTGCTTATGATTGTGGATAAACTACTTTTTTTTTTTTTTTTTTTCCTGGCAGGTGGCATGTTTGACCCAGGTAGCTGCTAATTATCTCATTGGCCAAAAGGAAGCAAAACGTTGGGGCACGGCTCACGGCAGTATCGTTCCTTACCAGGTAGGACTGATACACACAGCACAGGGTTGGGCTGCTCTGATCTGCAGTTTTGTATGATATGCGTTTGGGAGATTATTTCCCTTTGTAAGAAAAAAAAAATCCTTTCAGGATATTCTGTTATATATCTTTGTCTGACTGTAACAAGGTCCTGTTGTTCATTTTAAATTCTGTGTTTTGCACATTTCTTCGTCAGAAGATTAGTAACAGGACACTTAAATGGATCAAAGGAACTTGCTGAAAGTGAGTGACTTTTGGCCTCATATGATGGTTTATTTTTTTTTCGCCCCAAAGAAGCACTGATTGTAGCCATTTTATAAAGCATGGTTTGTTCACCATGTCAATTATAAACCAAATGTTACCTACCCCAGCTGACAATAATATTCTCACAGGGTTGGAGTAAAATGAAAATTTGCGTGTGACGGATCTTTATTTTCAGAGCAAAGCAGATGGTTCGGGAACTGCTGTTCTTCATTAAGTGTCTAAACTTGTCCTTAGAAATTCTTGACGTTGGCTAGTGTGAATGAATATGTGAGGGAACTGTGATCCTTCACAAATAAAAATGAGAACAAAAACTCTAACTCTTCCTCCAAACCCCTAACCTTTGCTTGACTCAGTTGTAGTGTGTCCCGCTGTGTTTGTTATGTCCTCTGTCAGATGTTGGAGGTTTGAGAGTAGAGGTGTCTTTTTCATCACTGTATCCTTTCTCGCTTCCACCAGAAGCACATACCAGGCACCGTATTAATATCTATTGAATGAAGGGGTAAATTTTACTGTGGCCATTTCGGAGCAGGTGCTCTTGACGGAACACATCAAAGCCAGGATTTTGCATTTTCCAGCAAATGCATCAACACTGCTAATCATCCTTTTAGTCTTAAGAGCATTATTTCCTTCAGCTAAACTAGTTTCTTTCCCATTTCTTTTAATGCAAATTTGAGCAATTCAGTGACCCAATGTGAGTCTAGAATTTTTCTCTGTTTCTATTTATGGTCTCTTTACACCTAAGGCGTTACTGTGATTTCCCTGCAGAGCTGCCCTTTGACATAGCTACGGTTGTAGAACATTTTCCTTAGTGCCTGCCCTCTTTTCTTGAGCAGTGCTTTTATGACCAGCATTAGTGACTTTTTGGTTCTCTACTTCGGAGCCTTATACTCTTTTAGCCAGGCCTACCATGTGTCACGAAAGTGGCAATTTTGCACCTTTTAGAGATCAGCAATTTTAGCCTTCTCCCTTCTCAGATAGCAAATTTGATACCTGAATTGAGTAGGTGGATCCCAACTCTGATCTTCCTCCTTGTTGAGTTATCTTTTGGATCTGCTGCCTTTGACCAGAGAGTGCTATGATTCCAGTGCCTTCTTGTACTCCAACCCACATTGTCTCCCTCAGACCTGCTCCTAGCTAACGGGTTGCATCAACTAACTGATCCTCATTGTTGATGATGGAAGTCCCTCTCACAGGCATTTTAGCAGAGGGAAATGTTGGAACACATAGGAATTCATTGCTAATAACGGAAGTTCAGTCTTCAGTTTTTGGTGTGTGGAGAAAATGTGTTTGACTTGGAAATCTTTAGAGTATAATTCCACATCACTCACGTGGGAGGTGTTCATTGTGTTCTAGTATAAGGTTTATAGGTTTTTTTTTTTTTTGTTTGTTTTTTTTAAGAACGTCTTTTAAAAGAGTTTGGTATAGACCTCTGCTGTCCCTCCTGAGTGTTTGTACTGAGAGCTCTGGCATCTTGGGTATGGTCTCAACTATTTTACTGTGAGGTAAAAAGAAATTTAGAATCCTTGGCTTTTATTATGGTAGGCAAAAGATACGGGAAACTCTGTGTATGTACGTGTGTGTGTGTGTGTGTGTGTGTGTGTGTATTTTGTAAAGACAGAACTATACTTTTCTTGCTTGAATTGTCCCAGTCACATAAAGTGGATATTGTGCTTATTGGATCTAGTTGATTGCAGCTTTATTATCTGTAAGAAATAAGAGAAGATCTACTAGGATCTCAGAATTAACTCAGGAACTCAGAATTAATTTGTTTCCTCTTGGTGGAGGACTGGTTCAGCACTATGATTAAGGAACAAATGCAAATTCAGCTTGAATGAAACTAGCATACTAAGATGGATCCTAGATATGCTTCTAGACCTTGGTCTGTTTTTAATATTTAAAATAGATTTGGGAAATATTTTTATGGGTGAGTGCCAGGATAATTATAATTCAGTTTTCTATAATAATTATAGCTTTGCATCTAATTTGAGTTGTCTGCGTTTTGAGCTGAAAGTCTATAATGGAGGACCCCGATGGTCTCAGGAATTAGTTAGGTATCCCACTCACTCTCCTGAATTCTTGTTGAACCCCATCTGAAATATCACAGACCTTGAATGCATGAATATAAATTTCTGAAAAGTAGTGATCCTTGATTTGTGTTTTATTTTACATACACGTAATTTTTAACTTCTCAGGTTGATTATCCACTTGTGTTCTTTCCTCCCTATTCTTTACCAACTTTTTAAAAATGAGTAAGCGAAACAAAAGTAGACAGCATTGAGATAGTCATTTTGCTACTTGTTGAATATATTGATGGATGCTTTTCAGATTTTTAGATTGATTGATTTTAGAGAAGGGGTGGCGTGAAGAGAGAGAGAGAGAACAAGGAGGGGGAGGGAGAGGGACAAACTGACTTTATGTTGAGTGTGGAGCCCAACTTGGAACTCAGTCTCACAACCCTGAGATCATGACCTGAGCTGAAATCAAGAGTTGGATACTTGACCAGCTGAGCCACCCAGGTGCTCTGCGAGAATTCAGATTTTTAAAAAGAACTTGTAGATTTCAGTGCTTCCTTTGTTTCCATTACCATTAGGCCTTGCCCTTGAGAAACACATAGCCCAAGGGATAAAAATTACATAATGTTCACGTCTCTCTCTCTCTATATATATGATCTTATTTATTTGAGAGAGAGAGGCTGAGGGAAAAGCAGATTCCCCACTGAGCAGGGAGTGCTGGCGTGTGGATCTAATGGAAGCCTGCTCAGCTCTCTCTGTTTCTGATAAGACCATCTCTCTCCCAGTCTCTGCTGTCTGCAGCAGGTCTTGGGGGAGCTCACAGGGTTCTGTGTGCTCCTCGTCAAACCACAGCTTCTTTAGCAACAGCATCGCCCTCGTGATCGGTATAACCTGCTAAAGAGACTAGTCTGGATGAGACAACCACAACTACCTCCTTCCCTTAAAAGAACACCAATCCCATCATCCTTCAGACATTTGCCTCAGTCGCCAGCAGGACTCCAAGCCTTCCAGGTCATCTTATGACCACCTGGACAGTCATTCGCATATGGCTCTGTGCATCTCTTCCTTTGACCCAGTCATTTCTTCTGCCAACAATCTTGGTGCCTTTACAATCCCTTAGATCATCCCAGTGACATCCTTAATGATTTTTCTTGTTTTCACTTGGCCACCACTCAGGTATTTCTAAGACTTTCACATGCATCCAAGTCTCTAAATAGACATCTTATGAAGATGCTTTGCCTGATTCCCAGTGATACGGACGCTGCACTGTGAGTAATAAGGTTCCCGATGAGACTTTATTATTACTGGTGACGATGCTGTCTCCTTTGTATTCAGCTGGCAAAATCCGATTAAACTGCCAATTAAACTTCATTTGTAGCGTGTGGCTGGAGGAAAGCATAGCTACCACGTTTACAGCCTCACTCCCAGCTCGTGGCCATCTTTCTCAAGTGGGCCCTCAGCCTTACCCACAGTCCCGGCACACTACCTATACATTTATTTCCTCTGGGATGACTATTTCACTTCTTCTCTCTCCTCAGTTCTTTCCCACCCCCCTCCTCTTCCTTAGCCAAAGATGGTTTCTTATTTCACTGAAAATAGATACAATTGGAAGAGAACTATCTCCTCTTTCCTCTGCCATACCCCCCAAGCCCCTACTTGTGTGTTCTCTTCATTCCTTCCTATCACAATGAATGACTTGTCCCCTTCCACATTTTCTCTACTTAAAGGCATCGCTCCTGCACTTTATCTCCTCTAATACCCGCATTGCTATCAGTGGATAATGATATGACCGTTTCCTTCACCTTAAAAAAACCCAGCAACCTTCCTTAGACCCCCAGGGCACCTTTTTCCATCTACCATCCCATTTCTCCATGCTCTTCTATTACCCAATTCCTCAAAAGCGGTTTGGCTGGTACCTACTGGGAAGAATCATTAGTCTCCAGTTTACATGGACCTCATAGGCCAAGAGACGTTGGAGTCCTCAGTCCTCAGCAGTCTGAGTGCTGCGGAGTAGCTAGGGGAAGTTGACTTTCTGAGCAGTTCATTAACATGACTCTTTATATACTTTTTCTTGAGCCTTTCAAAGGTAATGCCTTCAAAAAAAATTTTTCCTTTAAATGGTCTGATAATTCACGTGACAATTTCTTTTAAAGCTTTTTTTCCCCCTGCTCTGGAGTACCTTCTAATTCAAGAAATTGAAGAATACAATTACTCAGATGGTTAAATAAAATCATGTCTCCCTTTCCTCAGTTTGGGCTCATTCAACCAAGGAATAGAGCAGGAAGCTGTGCTATGTTATTTCTGGTATGGACATTATACTGTATATTTAATTTGGCACAAGCAGAGACTCAGACAGGCAGTAAATTCCAAGTCTGAAGAGATGCAGCACTTTGCTATCATTCCTTAGAAATGTTAAAATGCTGTTAAATCATAACAGATTAGGTAACCTTGGGAATCTTTTTTTTAACCTATGTTAAGGATTTTTCAAAAAGTGAAAATGTAAATGATATACACGTGCCTCTTCTTTCATGACTTTTTTTTTTTTTAACCATAGTTACACTAAAGCATTCACTGAAGTTTGGAAGTATGATTTTAACAGGCATATGATTGTATCACATCTTTAATTTAATTGATGCATTGGTAATAACAGTAAAAATAATCATACAGGCTTTCACTGAACATACATTCTGTAACCATTTTATGTATGTATATATAATATTATATATA